TGATGATGTTGAAGTTATCATTGTTGTTTGATGAGATTGTATAACTTGAACAGAATTATTTGTAGTTGTTATTGATGAATTTTGATTAGTTGAATTAGCATTATTAAGAAGATCAACAGCTAAATAAAAATGGATAAAAATTAATTGAAATTTTTTTCTTATCTACCTTGTAAATCATTATGAGTTTCAGGATGTTCAATAAATTCAAGAAAATCTTCAATATCTGTTGGACCACCTAAATAAATAAATCAAGTTTAATTTAAAAAAAAAGCTTTTTTTTTGAAAATAATTTACATAGTGGTAACATTGGATCTTGTGTTGCTTTAGAAGTATTCATCATATATTCAACAAAATTACAGAATTCTTCATTATCTAAAATAGCTTCTACAAAAACCGACAGAAAAGTTTATACAAGATAAAACTAAAATTTTAATTATCTTACGCATATCATTTTCATCATCAGCTGGTGTTATAGTTGGCGGTTGAATCGGATTTGTTGGTGTAGGTACAGGTACAATTGGTGGTGGTTGTCGTTGTTCTTCTTTAACAGCTAATGCTAATTTCGTAGCTTTTTTTATTAAAAAACGATTAACTGTATCATGATCTAATTTTATTGTATATTCATTATTATTATTTATAGTTGTTGTTGATTGATCATTTAATTGTAATGGTACAAACGGAATATGATGTTGAGCCATTAAACGACTTTTTTCAGCAAGATCACTACCAAAAAATGCTTCTTGCATTTCCGGTGGCATATGTTCTTCTAAAACACTCTTCTTTTTCAATGGTCGTCGATCACGTTTACGTTTATTTGTTGATGATGATTCATCATGAAAATTATCATCTTGTGGTAGATCAGTTGTTGATGATGATGGATCTTGACGACGACGTTGACCACGAATTTTAACATGAAAACCACCAATACCTTTTATATATGAAGAAAAAAATTATTATCATACAAATAATAAAAAAACAAAAATTACTCTTACCATTATAACCTTTTGCTGCTCTAGCGATTGGTACTGTTGCAGTTGCTTTTTTAGTTCCTTCATCATCACTTGTACCACTTCCACCACCTGTTGCACTATTACCTAACATATCATCATCTTGTATTGAATTTGAATTATTTCGTTTAATACCACCCATGATATAATTAGCTAAACCACCACGTTTAGATTTTGTATTTGTTGTTATAGCTATTGCAGCTGCTGCTTTCTTAGGTAATGGTTTAACACGTATAGATTTTAATTGTGCTAAACCAGTATCAGTTAAATAAACACCTTCATCTAATTTTGTTGCTTTTGGTGTTGGTAATTGCAGTTGTAATGTATTTAGTTGATTTGATGTTGATAAATTTGTTGCAACAACTAATAATGGTGCTTGATCAGATGGTGATGAAGATTTTGGTGATGTTGATGATTGAAGTGTTTCATTTGCTGATGTTAATATTGCTGTTGGTCGACATAGTGAACAAATAAAATCACCTGTTGTTGATAATGTTGAATCTTCAGTTAGAATATGTTCACATGAACCATGCAACCAACGATCACATAATGTACATTGAACAATAAGTTCATCTGTTCGATAAGGTTTTGAACAAACAGGACAAATAACAAGTGAATGACATGGTGCACATTCTGTATAATTATTTTCCCATAAACAACATGAACCAGTTGGACCTGGATTTGTTGAACCACATTTAACACAACGAACACACCTTAACAGAGAGACATAAAATAAAATGATTATATCAAAAAAAAAAAAAGTTGTTTCTACACTTGAGGAAGAGTATAACCTTCCTAATTAACTGAAGGCCTCCGAAGAATGCAGAATGTATCTATTATTCCTCACTAAAGGTAGAGAGCCATCTATTAAAGAAGACTGTGCCCTCCATAGGATGTGAGGCCGGCAATGAGATTCGAACCTTGAACCTTTACTTTTCAATGTATTTTAACCATTCGATCAAACATTTTATTATACATACCATTGACATTTCCAGTTGCCTTTGGGAACTTGATCAAGTGGTGGTTGAAGACAATATGTATGATATGATATATCACAATCATCACATAATAATAAACGAGATTCATCCGTTGGTTTACCACAACCTTCACATACAGTACAATCTAGACAACGCCAACCTTGTTTTAATATAACTTTTGATAACTAAAAATATCAATCAATAGATTATAATTATATTCAAAATCGTTAAGGTTTCAATTTACTTTATTTAATCCAGCACAATATGAATGATAAGATTGTCCACATTGTGTACATGAAATTAAACGTCCTTCTTCATCTAAACCAAAACTACCACAACTAACACACATATCTTGTCCTAATGTATATAATTCATCGGATGCACATAGAACAGTAACAGCATGATGTTCATCATCATCACGTTTAACAGCTCCAACTGTATATGAACTACCCGTACTAGCACCACTTGTGTTTAATACATTCATTTGCATTGTTGATGTTTCATCAATAGTCTAATATTTTAGAATGAAAATAAGAAATTTAAAGAATCAAAAACAAAACAAATATAATTACTGATGATTGTACAGGAATATCTTTACGAATTTTTGGTGGTCTACCTCGACAACCAGTACCTGTCGTTGTACCAGTACGTGGTTGATTTGTAGTCGTTGTTTGAGTCATACCTAACGATGATTGAGGTGACGAAGCACGACGATGACCATTATTTAACGTCTATTAAATAAATAATTATTTAGAATTAGGCAAAATTAAACTTAGTCTTATATGATATTATTCAAATCGTATTTATTTCAGAAAGCTATCGAGCTCGCTTATATAATTTATTCACAACGCAATGAAATAATTATTCGATTAATGAATCTAGTTTAACTATCTACGATACAAGATTTCTCAATTATTACCCTAACCATTTCTAATGTCACTACCGAGAAAGTTATTCGTGAACTTAGGTAACAGAAAAATAAATAATATTTCTTTTCCGATAAATGAAAATAATTTCTTCATTTCACGCCTAACTGTAAACTAATTTCGCCTGGCATATATATATCAAATGAATATTTACCCGTCTTGCTCGTTTTTTACTAATTTCGCCTCCATAAGTACGATTTTCAAAAACTGGTTTTCCTTTTCCAGATTTTTGACTTGTTTGTGTACGTAAAGATTTTATTGGTTGTTGAAATATCGGTTGATCATCATCTTCTTGTTTTATTGGTATATTAATTGTTGTTGTCATTGGTAAATCCATTGAATGTTCAGATGATTCATCTTTTATACTAGATAATGATTCAAATATTAACGGTGTTTCTTGTTGATTTATATTTGTTGTTGATGATGTCATTTCACTACTATCACCACCACCTGGTGTATATTCAAGTGATGATTGTTGACTATAATCAATACTACGACGTTTACGAGTAGATATACCACTTCCCGGTGAAACAATGGGTGAATTCTATATAAAAATAATAATCAATTAATGTATAGATTATTAATAAAGACAAAACGAGCTGAGGACTCATAAGACGGAAATCTCCATACGAAATAATAGTACTTACACTTGATTTTTGTGATTTAATAATAAATCTATTTGTTTTTAAACTTGACGATGAACGATAAATTTCTTTATTATTAAGTTCATCATCATCATCACCTTCATCCATAGGTATTGTTGTTGTTGATGATGATATTGAACATGTTCGACATATATATGATGTATCATCATCATAATAATCATCATTTAATGAATGACATGTTGAATGTATACGTATTTGACATGATTGACATTGTCGAATATTTTGTTTTGATAAAATTTCATTTTGACATAATGAACATAAATCTTTTGTTGATGAATTTTTCTTTGTTAATGATAAACAACTTGAACAACTCCAACCATCTTTTGGTATTGATTGATTACGTAAACAAAATGTATGATAACCTTTATCACATACATTACACATAATCATTTCAGCATCATCACTTGATTGTCGACATGTTTGACATATTTTACAATCAGGACAACGCCAACCTGTTCGTACAACACGATTTGCTTCAAGTATAAGACATTCAGCATGATAATGTTTATCACAATTTGTACAAAATAATTGTCCACGTACATCACCTGGTTCTGAACATGCTTCACATGATGATGATTCAACATCAACTTGAATAAAATTAAAAAAAAAACGTACTCTATATATGAACTACATAAATATAGATAATCTTACAAATTGAAACAACTGAATCCAAATGTTGTGGACAAAGTAATGCAGATTGAGAATGAGAAAAAAAACAGCCCGATGATTGTGCACATGGTAAATGAAATTTCGATGAACATATATCATTTCGACATGAAAGTGATGCCCCATAACGATCACATATTGTACATTTCTATAAAATATAGCAGTCATTTAGTTCTTTATAATGTAAATAATAATAATTCATAGCCGTAGGATAAGTTTTATTACAATTATTTACCTGTTTAGATGCATTTATAACTGTGTTACGAATAATATCTTGATCATTTATTTTATCAGCATCTGTTAATGACCATTTTAAACATCGTTCATGTACCCAAAAATCTCCATTAGGTATACAATCTGATGATGATTGAAAACCAACATTAAATAATTCTGAATCAACTGGAACAATAATTTTTCCAGTTTCTAATATAAAATTATGTCTTTTTTCAATTGGAATATCGCTAAATAGAAAGAAAAAGTTGATTGAATTATTTTTTTTTTTATAAATTATTATTTTAATTTACTCGAGATGCCGAGGTGTAGAATTAATTATTGATTGGGATTGATCCGACGGAGAACGAATTAAAATTAAATCACCTTGACCAAGACTACAGGATGTTGGACAATTACAAAATAAACAAATTGGGATACAAGTCGAAGAAGAAGTCATTGATAATTTGGAGAAAAAAAACACACACAAAACAAAAATAGTTAATTATATCATATGACAATTACATGTAATAGTGGTGGATATCTAAATCAATATATACTACCACCCTAATTAAAATAAAATTGAGATATTTAAAAGAGAATTATATATGTATATGAAATGACTTACACTGTTCACATGAGCCTCATCTTTTTCTCATTTGCAACAAAAAAAACAAATATTAAAAGAAAATTAATAATAGAACAAGAGAGAATATCTAGAAAGAAAAGAGAAAAATCATTGAACCATGCGATTAGTTCGATATAAACAGAGAGATTCACTTAAGAAAACAAAGAAGAACAACGGCGGCCATTTTCCGACGTTTATCCTTTACTCCCGAACGAAGCGGAGGAGAGAAAGAACAACGACCAATGGTCAATCAATTCTAACCAATAAAAGTTTTATCATCGACAGATGGAGTTAGTTTCTTACTCTAAATTCAATATAACATATGTTATTGTCAATTATTAATTAGTTTGAAAAAATAAACTCATCGAATGTTCAACAGATTTAATAAATGTATATAAATAATTTCTGTATAAAAAAAAGACACAAACATGCGAAAATAACAATAGAAATTAATTGCATGTTTTTATTTTTTAACATAGATAACTTGTTATTCTTTTCATCCTCATAGTTTATCATGCAATACATGCGAATTAAATTTGGATATATAATATGAATACCTTTTAGATACTTATATTTTATTAAAGATGACATAATTATACAGTTTAGTGTAATTTTTAAAATAAAAGAACAACAAATTCATTTATTTATTCAAAGCGTGATTAGTTAATTTCTTCAATTACCATATTCAAATTGTTTACTTCTATATTTTCCGGAGCAATTTGATTGTTTCGAAAGCAACAGAGAGTTTTCCATCGGTTCCAACATTTTTTTACTAGTACAAATTTTACCTGACGACGAAACTGTGATGATGATATAATAAAAAGATAAAAACTGATCTATAATACAAATAAAAACAATCAGAAATGTGAATATAAAAAAAGATAGCTTACTCCAAAGTTAAGGGATGCAAGAGACGCAAAAATAACTTGAACTAATTGTCTAATTGCAAATTCTAATGGTTCACTTCGTGAAACAGGATTATTGACAGCATATATTCGATAACAACAATAAGGTGTTGCCAAACAAGCAAAAGATAAGACACGTATAAAACACATTGCTGTTATTTGTCGATCTAGTCGACGACGAGCAACAGGTATTTGTCGACGAACTATTCGACGAACATTTTGGTAAGCAAATAAACTAAACAACAATGAAATTACAATTGGTAAAAGACCAGTCAAAACAGGATATGTAAAGTATGTTGCATATCGTACATAGATATCATTTGCTATTGCACATCCAAGAGATGGCACAATATTGTAAAAGAAAGTTTGTATAATACTATGAGTGATCCAGATACAAACAAATACACATGTAAGATATCGAGATAATTTCAGTGTACATATATATCTTATATTGTAAAGATAATTTGTGGAAAAGTATTCATCAGCTGCAGTACAACATATCATAGTGAATGTGATGAGAACAAATGTTTGAGCAATGGTATATCTAAGTTTACACCAGATAAGTGAACTTCCTGTTCCATCATTTCCATACATTGATATCAGAATATATATAGTGAGTGAGCATAGGAGATAAAGAATATTGGAAATGGATTCCACAGTCAAATAAAAAGCACATCGATTGTTGCGAAAAGGTTTTAGTTGAGTAAAAACAAGAATATTTAATACATTACC